TCTGTTCTGAGAAACAGAGTCCCTAATTAATGGAAAGCACTTTGCGACAGAATGCACAAGTTTCCTGGAAATTAACCATTAATCTACACTTCCATTATACATCCACTGTAATAGCATGAGGTGGGTGGGAATGGAAGGGTTTGAATGGTGGAAAGGGATGATCATGACATGAGCACAAATTTGGAAACTCTTGTTACATGAAAAGGCATTCAAGGAGTCATTGACATGGTTAGTGGCAGACTGCTTGATGCTGGATGACCTTTCTTGCTTTACAATTAAAGATTTCAGGCACCTTTAGGAGAAATCCCAAAGCTGTTGGATTTTCCTTAGGTGAGCTAAAGTTTTTCCACATAGTGGGACTTACTGAAAGCATTTTGGGGGTTTTATAAGTAAGTCTGAGACATGCAATGGCATGCAACACAGACTCATTTCGTTTTTCACAGAGCTTTGAAATTACTCGCGCATGTTCCATCAAGAAATTATCATTTGAAGGATCACATTTCCCCATTTAACCCATCCACTGGAGATTATTCAACATAGATTCCTCTTGATTGTATCTCCTGTTAGACTTAGCTGGCATTTTGAAGTTCTGTGTAATTTCAAACAAACAACATAACAAATGGAAATGCAAGAAGTGATAAAGAGAAAACATAAAAACATAAAAATAGATATATATAATTTGAAAACAATGTTATAAGTTGAGTCTTTACTTATAAAAATTAACTTTTTTCACATCATCCTCTCTTATTGTTTATTTGGTAAATCTATACAATATCTTAACATAAAAAAGTACGGTAATGCTTTAAGGATAGCTGCAATGTTATCTATTGTGTTTGTGAGATTTTGGAAAACAACTTTCCTGCCCGCATTTTAAAAAAGAAAAGGTGAGAAAAAAATTAGCATTTTAAAAGAATCCCAAACCAAAGTTCTAATTAAATCAGCATAGACACATTAAGACAACAATCTCACATTTTGTTTGATTTACTTAACAAGATTGTTACTGGAAAAAAAGAAATAGTGAGCAACATTGTAGATTAATCTTCATAAGCTTTGTTTAAGCTTTGTAGATATAAAGAAGGCATTCACCTGTATCCCCTATGGTACATTTCTTTCTTTACCTCGTGGGCCTTTACTAGGGGCCATCTGGTCTCTGTACCGGCAGAGCAGGGTTCTGGTCCACATTGTCGAAATGAAGTCCACCTGTTTGACTCCAGCTATTTTTATGATGTTAAGGGACAGGATTTATGCATTGAAGCACTGGAGGGGATTTGGTTTGGGGATATGGCTCTGATATGGTTCTGTTTGCTTGCTTTGGCCAAGACCTAAAGCATGGGCTTCAGGTTCGCAGGAGGGTAGGAAGAAGAAGGAATGAAGATTGGCTCCTCCAAGTCCGAGCTCCTGGTTTTAAATTGGAAAAGTTTTGAGAACCCTGAGTGGAGATTGGAGTGCTGTAATGTGGACGCTGTACCTATCTGTTTTGGGGAAGAGGTCAACATTCCTACGCTCACAGATTTGGGTAGTAACTTGTTATATTAGTTTAACTACATCTGCTTGACTATCCTTTTTAACAATAAAAAAATGACTTTAAGAAGTAGTTTAACATCACTGTACTAAAAAATATCATGAAATATCTCTACTTTTACTTGAGTACCATTTCTGGCTACATCATTCATAATGAGTAACTTCATTTAATGAAAATAAGCTTGTTTTAAACAAATATGCACCATTGAGAGAATCCCATTCTTCTTTTTTTTTTTTT